TCTGCATGAGGCCGCTGGGTGAGCTCATCCATCGCCATGGGGTGAGGTATCATCAGTATGCTGATGATACCCAATTATACATCTCCGTCTCTGGAGAATTAAGCGATGCCGTGAATGTCTTATCCCGGTGCCTGGAGGCTGTGAGGGTCTGGATGGGGAACAACAGGCTTCAACTGAACCCTGGCAAGACTGAGCAGCTTTGGGTTTTGGGCCTTCCGGTGCTAGAACCATGCCATCTTTGGTGGTGCTGGATGGGGTGGCACTGCCCCAAACAGACCCTGTGTGCAGTCTGGGGGTCCTCCTGGACTCACGACTCCTGCTCAAAGAGCAGGTGGCAGTCGTGGCTAGGAGGGCCTTTGCACAGCTTCGTATTGTGCACCAGTTGCACCCATTCCTAGATCAGGGGCTCTGCTCATTGTCACTCATGCCCTAGTCACCTCCTGTTTGGATTTCTGTAATGTGCTCTACATGGGCCTGCCCTTGAAGAGTATTCGGAAGCTTCAGCTGATGCAGGATGCAGCGGCATGGGCAGTTATGTGCGCCCCTAGAACGGTACACATTACACCTCTGCTCCACGAGCTGCATTGGTTGCTGCTTTGCTTCCAGGTAAGGTGCTGGTTTTGACCTTCAAAGTCTTTCATGGCATGGAGCCAGGCTACCTGAGGGACCACCTCTCTCTGATTACATCTGCCTGCCCCATCAGATCTGGCAGAGAAGGCATGCTGTGGGTCCCGCCTGCCAGGGAATTCCATTTGATGGGTGCCAGGAGGCGGGGCTTCTCTGCCGTGGCGCCCGCCTTGTGGAATCTCCTCCCCCCGGAAGTGAGGTCAGCTCCATCCCTCTCAACATTCCACCAGTCCCTCCAGACCTGGCTGTGTGATCAGGCCTGGGGCTCCCAGGGGGCCGGGGAGATTCTGCGATGGCTCCCTTATTGTGGTTAATACCATCCTCTCTGTTTTGTGTGTTTTTTATAGTTATTTTTTAACTGAGACTTTTTTAATGTATTTATTATTTTTAATTAAGTGCTGTATGCTGCCCAGAGTCACTGTTATGTGAGATGGATGGCTATATAAATATAACTGATTGATTGATTGATTGATTGATTGATTGATAGATAGATAAATGCAATTCTAGAGTCTTTTTATATAGAATTATTTCTTAACTAATTTAATATGGATATTTATATTTTTACTGTTTTTACTGTTTGGATTTTAACTGTGAGCTGCACCCTCTGGGGAAGATGGGTGGCATATAAATTTAATAAATAAATAAAATAAAAATGCATAACGTGATGGCAGCCCATTTCTCAGTAAAAATAATTATAGCTCTTCATCCTTGCCTTAAGGGCCATGCAGCTTCCCCCCTTCTCTATCCTTAAGCAGAGTGAGGGCTGCTCTCTCTTCAAGGATAACTAGAACTCCTTTGGGGTCAGGTTGTAGCAAGAAATGTAGGCTTGCCACCAGGTTAAGCCCCTCTCAATGGAAATGCAAACATATGGTTCTCAATACCACCTTCTTGTCAGATTCACATGTTATAGTTGCCAGGCCCTGTCTTAGGCAAACACTGGTGTAACCTCAGGTATGAATAAGCTCTAAATAGATCAAGAATTAAATTAGATGAACCTTGAAACAAGCAAAACTACATCTACACATCTGAAATGGCACCTACTATACAATTTTGGTTATGCATTTCATCACTTATGCTATTTGGGGCAGGGGGAGGACATATATAAATGACAATTGATGAAAGACTTTCCCAACTTCTATTCTTGATATCCATGGATTTGTTGTAAATTGCTTTTTGCTCCTTGCTCCTTCTTTCTAGAGGCTGCTACCACTGATTTCATTTGGGGTACTAATTTTCCTACTATTAGTTGGCAGATAGGAAGGTTGGAAATCAATAGGGGGACAGAAGAAAGATCATGGTAAATGAAAAGGAGGTCCTGTTCCAAATAAAGTTAGGATAAAGGTTGGTCAGATTTAGTTGGTGTTTATGACTAGAGTCCAAACATCTCCATTCTGTTCACCTAAAAAGGCCTACAGCTAGAAGAGCAACTCTACAGATGGGTGAAAAACTACAGTAGATTCCTGCCCAAAGCAGCCAATGTTTGGGTTTCAGAGCTCTTCACATCAGGTGGTGTTGGATGAGTGAGGCTGTTCCAGGTCTGAAGTAAGAACAAAGACTATGGAGAGATTAGTACATTTGTTCCACACCCACTCCAATTGCCATATGACATGAAACAGAGGACGGATGGGAAGGATCTGGGAGGGAAAGGATTCATGTCAAACAATAATGTGACTTTGAGCCTAAGGTTGTGAAATGTAGAAGACCTGCAGCTAAAGGAAGTCTCAATTTTGGTCTAAAAATACTAGTTTTTCAAGCAACCTTTTTTTGTTGATCAAAAACAATGAAATTTTGAATGAGGAATCTCTGCAGACCAATTGAATTAAAGTGCTGCTGCTTTAAATGAATAGAAACTGGGTGTCACAAATTTAATGTAGGCAATTCCCTTCCACAAAATGCAGTCCAGTTAATTTAATTGAAGTCTCAAACTATGCAATAGGGAGGAAGAGGAGGAGGAGGAGGCAGAGGCAAGGGCGGTGGCTGAGAAACAGATATTTTTAGCACAAAGGGAATTTGGAAGAGTCTTTAGAAATCCAGTGTCCTCTTGCTTACCTTAATTCCATTTGCCAAGCTTGATCAGTTTGTGTATTTTTTCCCTCTGCATCAGCCTCCGATTTGCCTGTGTGACAACATCACTCAGGGCAACTGCAGCTCATCCAGAGCAGGATAATGCCTGTATTATTTTGCTGAATTAGATATCTTGGCCTTTGATCCTGTCATCTGGGCAGCTGTTGCTGGAGCCAACTTGGCCTACAGCCTTGGAAAGGCCCTGAGTTAGTGAACAGAAGAATGGTGGTGCTGCTGACGGTTTTATTCCTCTCGAACTCTGTTCTTGAAACCAGAAACGGGGCTTTTTCCCAAGGTCTCTTATGTTGTTATATGTAGCCCATTCTACAACATTTAGGAAAAGCAGCTAAGGGGTTGGGCTAGGGCCAGGGAGTCCCAGTTCAAGTCCACCCTCAGCCATGGAAATGTTAGGCAACCTTGGTCCAGCCATACATTCTCAGCACAGCCAACCTCACCATAACTGCAAAATGCAGGTAATAGACCAGATTCAGTACAAAGCTTGCTGTTTGAATATTCAGAACACTGAAATCCTCACCAATTTATCTAGCTGGGCAAATAAATGTTGGGACTTAAGTTGATTTCTTCCTTCTCCCTCTTTCTGTGTACGTGTGTATCGTTAGAGAAAGACCGAACAGGTAGGTATATTTTGAGAAAAGTATTCTGGATGTGGACCAAACATTGAACTGAGAGTTAGAGGGGTGGGGGAGATGGAAGGAAAAACAAAGTCTATTTCAAGATCAAATTATGGCATGTTGGAACCAGCAATACAAAACTAGTATTGCTTTTGAGCAAATACTTCAGAATAAAAGGAATGTTTATTGTGCAATACTTTTAAATTTCAGAAACTTGAGAGAAGCAAGAGATAATGCTGTGACTGAAAAAGAAAGAGCTGTTATAGCTGAAAAAGATGCATTAACCAAATATGACCAGCTTTTAGAACAGTAAGTACCTTCACTGTTCCTTGAGCATAGCTTTAAAAAGAGGAAGATTTGTACAAATAAAGTTAAGGCTGGGGCTTTCCAAAGACCCATCCATCTTAGTCCTGCTTATTGTGAACTGTTAAGAAGACAGAACCAGTACAAATTGCTGTTGGGGATGAGAACGAAAAACAAAGTTCCTAATAAACAATTCTACAAGGTATTGGAACAAACTCTCCTTTCCCGCCCAAACCAGGTTTTCCTAAACTGGTTATTGGACTGCAAATTCCATTCTCCCATGCTGGGACCATGGAGGTTGTAGCCTAGCACACATGCGAGGTCCCGGGTGGGCATTACGACCATGAACTTTCCCAGATCGGGCCTGGTCTCCCAGCTGCTGACTGCTGACTCTCCCTCTCCACGTGCCACTCCGCCACCGAGGCCCCTGTTCTTAGTGCCTCTATTCTCTCCTTGCTTCCCAGTGGAAACCGCTGCGGAGAGAAGGTCCAGAGTCAGTTGACTGTTTCATTCCTGTTGAAGCAGTGCTAAAATAGAATCCGTGGTACAGCTTTGGAAGTGGAACAACGGGCCCGCTATTAAGCAGGACTTCTCCCTTGAGAAAGGAGTTGGCAAGGGTTCGTTAGTCATTTTCATGCATGTCATGAGATTTTCATGAGATTATTAGTGGCAACATTAAAGTGAAGCAACTTTATTAGAGACTAGTAACACTGGGTGGGAGGATAAATCCACATGGAAATTTTGTGTTTGTTTAATGTGCATGTGAACATTTTAAAAATACAGTAATTTTATACACTAAAAAAAAACAGAGAAAAAGATTTCTTACCTTTTCCCAAGAGATTGTATTTTAAATGTTGGCTTTATTTTGAGTATATAGCAATAGACAGTACAGGATCAAAAGAACTATGGAGGTCTTTTCGTCCAACCCCCTGCCCAGGGTAGGAATTCTCAGACTACCCTGGACAAATATCAGTCCAGCCTTTGCGTGAAAATGTCCAATGACGAAGCCTCCATGACTCCAGGAGGAAGGCTCTCATGATCAGGAACTTCCTCCTAATTTCAGGTCGGATTTTTAACATATTAATAAACTATGCCATGTAATTCTTTGTTTCAAATCAGCATTGCAGATAAAATAGTTTGAACAGTGTTTTAACGAGTAAGCAAGCTATTCTAGAATCTGAGATTCATCAGTGTGCCCTGGATCATCAAGCAGTTGCCATAATCCTTTTACCATTTAACAAGGTTTGTATAGGCAAGCATAATTTAAAACTGAGTTTTATTAAATATAGCTTACCTTCATCCAGTCTTTATGTAGGGATATCAGTACTATAACAGTGCTTGAGATGTGAATATTTCAGGAACAACATTATTGGCAAAGAGTGCTTTTTAAACTATATTCAGATTATCCATTTAAAGAGTGCTAACATGCATTTTGTGAAATGCGCATTTAAAAAAAAAACAGCCTACAATTCTCTTCCTATGGTCTAGGACAGGTTTCATTTCTCCATTATGCCCGCATTTCCTCTAGGATCTCAGGCAAGCAGTCGGCGCCCCCAGGGTTCAAAACGGGCAGGTTCTTTTGCTTCTGTCCTCCTCCTCCCATTGAGACTTGCAGAGGTCTGCAAGAATGGGTGCTGCTTTGAGAAGAAGACTAGTGCCTGCTTAAAATTAGCACAGAGACCACAAGCTGTTCCCCTCTATAGAGAGTGGGATTTCTGCCGGGTGATGCAGGGTGGTGCTTCCACCTCAGAAACTGCCATAACCTTGTTTAGTCTTGGCCCAACTGACCTATTTCACCTGGCTGCTGATGCAAACCCAGGAAACCGGCCCAGTGCCGATGCATGTCTTTTCACCTGTCTCCCGACTCTTCCCTTCCTGCTCTTTAAGCAACAGGGGAGAGAACCCCCTTCTCCTTTTCCCAGAGAGACATTGTCGATAGCTTTTCGCAAATCCCAGATTCAATGTCTTCTGCACCGTGCCAGTCTGTGTTTTCATTCATGCTGATCAGTCTTACATTAACTCTTCCAAATTATGGGTATTTTGTACAAGCAGTACATACATCCTGTCAAAGCATTCTGAAAAATAAGTGCACGGCTTTCCTAAGTTTGCTTTTTTCCTGCTGATTTTTTGTCCGTTGAAGCCACTGGCCCAGTACAGTAACGTGAGACGGTGCCGTATCAAAAAGGTTGAAACAGCTCTTGGGACTCTGCATTAACTGATCAGGGTTACTTCCCGCAGCGAAGGGAGTTTGTGCAGCGCTTGTGAAGTTGCAGCCTGAGGCTGTCCAGAGCCAGGATTTCCCAAAGCCACCTAAATGGTCCTCCGCAAGATTTTTCCTTTCACAGGCCTTATCGTTGGATCCGTAGTCATGCTTACTACCAACTGACATGGAATACATGTTAGCCTAATGGGTTTGTCCTGTCCTGCCTTTCTCTGCATCTCCCTTTTTTTTAATTGGGGTTACATGTATGGTTTGGTATGGTAACCAATTGCTTGTTTTTTGACGGATCAGGAGTTCCACTTTTGAGCTTTTCTTAAAAAAACAACGGATACCTTCCCAAGTTGGCTATCGACGCAGGTTTCTCTTTGATGCTCTCTTCTCGCTCGCTGCTTGTACCCGAGTGGTTTTTGGTTTCTGTTTACCTCTAGTCGCGGATTCAGATTTGCCTGCCATTTCTGAAAACAGACACAAATAATTTATTCAGCTTTTCTAAAGTTTCCTTATCGTCCCTTAACAATGTTGTCATCTAGTAATCAGTCAGCCCCCTGCCTTGTGCCTGTATTTAAATCATGGTTTATTGCTGGTCCTGATGATTTTTGTACCCTGTTCCTCAAATACTTGTTACTGGGCAGGTGAAACAAACATATGTTCTTTGTTCTCACTTGAGCAAACATTTCATTTGTTTGTTTATTGAAGGAAATATTTTCGTATTTATGCCTTCGTTGACTTGGCATACTTTGGGAACTGGTATGTTTTGGTATATTTGATACATTTCACAGTTCAGAAGTATATTTTCAAGTTGAATTTCTGTTGCAATTTTAATAACACCCAGGCTTTATGGAGAGATTTGGCACAGTTCAGTTTACTTTTCAGCTTTCTTTTTTAGCAAGTTCTAATATTTGGGGGAATAATTTCCCTTATTATTTAAGTATAAGAGAGTAGAATAGTGGCGTAAAAATACTACTGCTGTCACTGGAGGCAGCCAAAACCTAGGGAAGCAAGTGTTAAATTATTTTAAGTCATCCTGAACCAACAAAATAATGTAGCGTATGCATTCACATTAATAAATAACATTTGTCTGCATGAGGTCATATTTGTGATGCTCGAAAGTGATCCCAAAGACAAAAAGTGCATTGTATTCAAGAGACCCTAGTTACCAATGTTGGTAGGATCTGAAACCCTTGAACATATTTGTTTATACAAAGTCTATGGAATGCTGCCTAGCTTGAATTGTAGAGAAATGCCTCTGGCAAATCTTGTGATGAAGAGTGTAACTAACACCCAATTTTCTAGTCAAGTACAATTATTATAACTTTATTCTTACCAGTGATTGGTAAGTGAATTTCTTTGTCTATTAAATGCAGGCAAAGTTTGTGTTGAATATAAAATAATAACTCTGGATATTTCAAACTCAGTGGTTCAAGAGTCTGTTTTTAGTTATGTTGTCTGCCTTTTTTGCTCTATGAAGGAATAAATATCTTACATCAGTCTGAAAGATTGCTTTCTGTGTGCTTATGCAGTTCCAGAAATCATTGCCTAGGGTGACTTATAAGTGCCAGCTAAAGAACAAGCGTGCTGAAAACCATGTACGGCAAAAAAAAAGTGTGATGTGGTTGTTGGAGCCTGGGACAGCCAGGTTCTTGTCTGTTTTCAACCAGGGAAACTCTTTGGATGACTTTGGGCCAGTCTGTCTCTCTCTCTCTCAACCCAGCCTACCTCCCAAAGTTATTGTTGTGATGATGATGATGATGATGATGTCAACGATGATGACGACTGACTGACTGACTGACTGACTCCAAGCAGGCTGCCTTGAGCTCCTTAGCAGAAAGATGAAATAGCAGCAAACTGCTTGCATCCTAATCTGAAAAAAAAATTAACCCCAGATACTCTTCCAAGAGGCTGTCCTGAGAGAGAGGGAGACTGAGCATGGCATTAGTGAAAATCACAGAATTCTTCTTTTGCAGGCCAAGCAGAAAGGTTTTTCCACTTCCTTTAAATGCTGCTTGGATCCCAGCCATTGACTGGAGTATGTTATGTAATGTAGCTTGTGAGTAATCTGGCGTATGCTAAGTAATGAGGACACTATATAATGCTAACAAGTATCCTCGTAACATGGCATATGTGGTCCAACAGTGTATATGCAAATATGTATAAATTATGAACATGCCCCAGAAACATTTAAAAAGATGCAGTGTAGAGACATCAATAACCCTTCCTTAAGCTTGAGACCAAGATAGTTGCCTGACGTTCCATGATGAAATGAGACGGCATCACAGGATGACATGGCTTCAAGTTACTCATTGGATTAGCTATTGTACAGCAGTCTGATCCTGGGTGTTGCATTTACCCCAAAGTTAGGCATGCTTGATAGCAACCTCGGTTTGGTTTGTCCTTTACACAAATAATGTTTGTAACTGTAAGGATTCCTGGTTATATTCCTGGTTTACATATCAATCAACAGAAAGAAGAGTACTGAGAATAGAGGTGTAGCCACAGTTGTATAGATTCTGAGTTTTGAGAACTTCTCTTTCCTTTGGTCAATGGAAGTTGTCCCACCACGTTAAGCTTGTGCAGGTATTTGTCTTTTAAGGGACTTACAGGCCCAGTAAAGTAGCCATGGCTAAGAGCCAACTAAACATGCTGCTCTGTCTTGTCTTTATTCTGACCTGAGGGACTCTGTCTTTTGGATTGAAAGAGTGACTACCCCAAATTATTAATAGGATGTGAACGCATAGATCCAGCAGCATGAAAAACACTTTGTAGAGACACAAAGAGAGCTTCTTTT